TGAATCGTCACGTGTTAACGGTAACACCCCAACCTCTCCTACACTTAATCCATCAAATCATGTAGCCTCGGTTACCAATACGCTGACCCCTGCCATCATGAACGCAACTCTCTCTCTCTCCAAGACGTGGACACTCATGAGAGCACCATACGCAAGGAGCGCCGCAAGACTGCTCGTGACCACTCCTACTCCAAGGACAAGCTGCGCCGCAGCGCGCGGCTTGCTAGCAAAGAGGCCAAGTACTCCCCCATCTTCGCCAAGGCCGTCAAGGCAAAGGCCGCTCGCCTCTCTACCGCGGATGGGCACAACCATTGATCGTGCCATCTAGGATGCCCGCCTTGACGTTGCTGACACCCCTCCTGCCTCTGCTGAAGACCCGGTTGCCATTGCACTACTTTGTGGTGCTGACGATGGCCATGTTGACGCCATCCTTGGATTGAGGCTTCTGCCTCTGGTGAGGACGATGCACCATGATCGGCTCTCAACGCGTACTCTACCAGACGGGCCTAATCAGACGCTCCCGTCTGTCTCCTATATTCCGCATGTACTAAGTGTGTCGTGGCACTTTTGGTCCTCGTGCCTACCGCCGTTAGTCCCAGTACTGCCATCGCGTCGTCTTGTAACTTTTGTTTCTGTAGAACCGTTGTATCTCGGCCTTGCCTACTGGTGTATGAACCCTTTGAATGAGTAATGCTGCATTTTCTATTTGCTCTTGGAATGTACGTGGATTACGCGATGAAGCCAAGTGTTCCGACGTTATCTCTGAGTTGATTGCGATCAAACCCCACATTGCCCTCCTGCAGGAGTCTAAACTCGATACTTACTCCGACCCCAAATTTAGATCGTTCTTGCCACATCATCTCGACCAAGTGTTCTCGCTTCCCGCCGTGGGCACCCCTGGCGGCACTATTTCTGCCGCCAATACAACTTCCCTCCAAGTTATCTCGTTTACCCACCTCACCTTCTCCTCCACCCTGATATTGCAATCAACGGCATGTGCTCGCAACATTGCCATCACCAATATCTACGCTCCCTCTTCACGTGCGATCAAGCAATCTTTTCTAGATGAACTCCAAGCTATCTCACAACCAGATGATTCTCCCTGGCTGATCGCTGGAGACTTCAACCTACTTCGCTTCCCCTCTAACAAAAACAATAATGTCTTCCGGCAGTCTGAGGCCAAAGCTTTTAACCAAACCTCAGACGATCTAGCCCTCGTTGAGTTACCGCTCCTTGATCGCCAATTCACTTGTTCGAACAATAGAGAAACACCTACCTTAGAACGGATCGATCGCGCTTTCTTTAACCTAGCCTGGGCCGATGCCTTCCCTAACACATCCCTATCCTCGCTCACACGTTTTACGTCCGATCACGTCCCCCTTCTCATCCACGTCACTACAACAATTCCTCGGTCCAACTTTTTCAAATTTGAGCCGGGCTGGGCCAATTTCCGGCCATGTGGAGATATTGTCAGAAGGATCTGGGCCCTTCCCGGCCCACATCGCCTGCCAACTTGGCCGCCTCCCTTGCCTCTGCTCTCAAAAAATCTCGGGCCGGGCTCAAAAAATGGGCTCGCTCACGTATTCCTACCCCTCTTCGCGAATCTCGTTGCAAGTCTGCAATCACTACTTTAGATCACGCTGAAGAATCTAGGGTTCTTTCCCAACCAGAACTCCTCACTCGCAAGATTATCGTCTCTATCCTCAAATGCACAATCCAAGAAAAAATGACCTACTGGAGATGTCTTGCCAAAGTGTCTCGTGCCATCCATGGCGGGGAAAACACAAAATTCTTTCACATGTCCGCCTCCCAACGGTTAAGAAAAAAAATATAAAATCTTTACGCTCACACGCAACGGCTCTGATTTCTCCTTTTACTAACACAAAGCAGAGATTCTAAGGGATTTCTTCGTCAACCTCATTGGCACCCCAGCCCATATGTCCTGGGCTTTTGATCTGAATGCTATCTATCCACAGCCTGTGCCTGGCCTCCATGTCCTGGATGAGCAATTCTCTGAAGAGAAAATCAAGCTCGCTTTCTTTCAAATGAACCCCCAAGCCAGCCCTGGGCCAGACTGTTTCGGGCCATCATTCTATAGAACTTACTGGCCCCTAGTCAAACAAGCAATTCTTCCCTTCTTCTCCCAATTTCACCAAGGTGTGGCAGATACAGAAGGCTTAAACCGTGCTCACATCGCCCTCCTTCCTAAGAAGGACACGCCAACCTCACCCGACACATTTAGACCAATCTCTCTGCAGAACTGCCTAATCAAAGCGGTAGCTAAAATCCTCACCTCACGTCTCAAGCCGCTCATACCTATGTTAGTTCAGGTAACCAAACTGGGTTCATCTCCGGCATGAATATCGCCGAGAACTACGTGTATGCAGCTGACCTCATTAGCTCCTGCCACACTCGTAAATGACCAACCATGGTTTCTAAGCTCGACTTCCGCAAAGCCTTTGACTCTGTGGCTTGGCCTGCCCTGGACAGAATCCTGACCATTCGCGGTTTCTCTCAAACCTTCTGTAACTGGATCCAAAACATTCTCCACACGGGTAAAGCTGCCATTCTACTCAATGGTGTTCCAGGCAACTGGATTCAATGCAAGAATGGCTTGCGGCAAGGCGACTCGGCCTCCCCTATCTCTTCCTCATCATCACTGACCTGCTCCAACAGCTAATCTTCCAGAACTGAAAGCCTGCTCTCCACCATCCCATCTTCTCCCACCTCCCTCCCACCGTCCTCCAATACGCTGATGATACGCTCATCATTGTCGCCGCCTCTTCGGTCGCTGCCGCAACCCTCAAAGTAACCCTAAACAATTTCGCGCAGGCAACGGGCCTAACCATCAACTTCTCCAAAACCTCTCTAGCCACTCTCCACACAGATGATACCATGGTCTCTGCCATTGCCCTGGTCATGGGTTGCTCCCACACACCCTTCCCTCAAACGTACCTCGGCCCCCTTTGCCCCAACTAAACCTCCAACCAATGCATTCGCTCCGTTGATAGAACGTGCTCGCAAACTACAGACGGACTGGCGTGCTAAACTGTTGGACAAAGGTGATCGTCTCATTCTCATCTCCGTGGTTCTAGACTCCCTCCTTACCTACTTCATGCCAGTGTTTCACATTCCAAAGAAAACCCTCAAAATCATTGACTCGCTCTGAAGGGCTTTTTTCTGGGCAGAGGACGATGCTTGCTCAGGAGCTCAATGCCTTATTGCATGGAAAAATGTCTGCTTGCCAAATTTTTTTTGGTGGTTTAGGGCTTCAAAACCTGCATGTCCAAAATAATTGTCTACTAATGAAATTTGCCGCCAAAGCCCTCTCCTCTGCACAGACACCTTGGCTACAATGGATGGACCTTCAACACCCCAACGCTCTAGTCTCCTCGTCTCCCACTACCTCCTCTCTCTGTCGCACAATTGCTCAGCAAATCCCCACCCTACAAACATCTCTTTTGTGCTAACCAATAGTGGCTCTCATACGTACTTCTGGCTTGACACCTGGTTAATCCAAAACCTCTAGCTACCACCTTTCCCCACCTCTTCTCACACTCCAACCTAGAGCTGGTTAAAGTGGCTAATATTTTGCGTTTCGGTATTGAAGCTAATCTCCGTAATCGTCTCTCTCTTACGGCAGAACAAGAGCTTGTGTCGCTTTTGGCTATTTTGCAGGATTTTATGCCTTCGGCGGAGGAAGATCAAAGGTTCCTACACCGAGGCCATGCCTTCTCCGCCAAGCACGCGTACGGCGCCCTCATGGCTAGGCCAGACAACGATCTCATTGCACCCCTCATCTCGGGCACTAAGGCTCCTCGCAAGCTAAAAATCTTTGCTTGGCTTCTCTTCAAGGACCGCCTCAACACTAGGGTTAACCTTGCCCACAAGCATATAATCTCCTCCGATGTATGCCCGCGGTGTGATAGGTTACCCGAAGACTCCATGAACCTCTTCGTCACATGTCCACTTGCCAACATGATATGGCAACTAATCGGGATTCTGCCACAGACCGACGACATCGCTGAGCTTTGGGACACTCCACTGCCTCACCACCTACCCAAAAAAGCATGGGCATTCGTCCTCATGGCACTACTATGGAAGATATGGGCAGCACGTAATGATATGTTGTTCAAAAGTGTTGATCAATGTTGTGTATAATAACCCTCAGAGCCCTTATCTTTGATTTGGATCTTTGGTCACACCGTCTCATGGAGGCATGTGACAAGGAGGACGTCTTCTTGTGGTGTTCCTACCTCTCTGCACGTTGCACGGTGCCTATGTGATTCTGTACTCGCTGCTTCTGCAGCCTTTTGAGTAATATATTCAGGTGGGGGAGCTCCCCCCGGGTGATTCTCAAAAAAAAAAACTGATGATGTGAGTAGAGTACTGGATATCTAACAGGCAGGGCTGAGGGTGGTGAGCAGGTGAAGGTGAGGAGAAGAAAACGCGCGAGAGAGATAAGAGGACGAGGTCGCCGGGGAGGGGAGTGACTGAGAAGGGATGTGATGAGATAAGGCTGATGTGGAGGCGAGCGATACATGAATCCCACGGACATGTGGCACGCGAGAGAAGCGGGGGGATGCGTGAGTTTTACCGACAGGCAGATTCTTATCGTTTACTACCATGCTTAAGAAGTTGAAGCACCGGCCTGCACAGTAATATCCAACACAGACAGAGAAATACTGTAGATATACAAGATGAGCACGGCCATGGCATCACTGGTGCTTGCAGTGCTCGTGTTGCCGTCGGCAACAACTGCCGGGGTGGCTACGGCTAGAAGAAACTGCCCCGACAGATGTGGTAAGGTTGCTAAGATACCTTATCCGTTCGGATTAGGTCCTTGGTGCTCCTTACCTGGTTTCAGTCTCACTTGTGCAGACAACACCAGTTACCCCCTGCTGGGCAACCTACCCATCCGGGGCTTTTCCACAGATGATGATGATTTTTATTTTTCTAATCCCATCGGAGTGCTTTCCAGTATCTCGTACTCCGTGAAGATGATTCCCGGCGTCCGTGACTACTCTCTTCACTGGGAAGCTCCAGACCGGCACTTTGCCCTATCTTCACGCCGGTCATACATGTACGTTGTTGGTTGCGGTGTAAAGGCCTCGCTGTTCGTTGGCAACTCGACCGTTGAGTTCGGGAGCTGCTCCGTCGCCTGTGCCGCCGAAGCTAAAATCATGGAGAAGCTGCCCAATGGGTCGTGCGATGATGGCATCGGATGCTGTCTCATCGACATACGGGTGGACCTAAGGGCGTTCACCCTCAACATCTCGCGCACCAGCGATTCTGCACGCTCGAAGAAGGTGTACGCGTTCATCAGCGGAGATATGGGCCCAATATTCAGGCCGATCGACGCCCTGAGATCTATGTTACCAGCGGGTCCCGAGTTCAATCCATCTGCTACCCTGGAATGGGCTATTCCCTACCAGCCCAACTGTAAGCGCGCCATGGAGGACACGGCAAGCTATGCATGTGTTGCTCATCACAGCGTGTGTGTGGACTTGCCGATCGGTGGATACTTTTGCGACTGCGAGCTACGAGCTAGCCGACACCTACATCGGCAACCCCTACATCAATGGCGGGTGCCTAAAATTCCAACCACCTCCGGAAGCTCCATCGCCTGCCCCTCCGGCAGGTCAGTTCTAAATTATACTATCTGATGCTCGATTCGTTTGATTTGTGGTTAGGGTTAACTCTAATTCTGATAATTATTCTTAGGGAAAATTTGAAACGTGCTGATACTTTTAAATCTTCTAATAATTTGAGCACTGGATATTATTATTATTTTTGCGAAAAGGATATTGATATTTATGGTTCATCTGCTCAAACGTTTGACATGATCTTCCCCCCTTTGAGCAGTTTATGGCTCCATCCAACCGAGGTACCTCTGTCCCATGTCGTGCGGGAACGTGAGCATCCCCTTCCCCTTTGGAACAAAGCTAGGCTGCTTTGCAAGTGAAGAATTCCATCTCAAATGTCTTCGAGCCTTGCCGGGGACCGTTCTTCCGGTGCTTGAACTGATGAATGGTCGATTGATCATCACCGACATATCTATTGACAAAGGTATTTTACTCGTTCACGAGAAATCAGAGCCAGGTGATCTCTTTTCAGATCCGGACACGCTCTACGCCTTATCCGGGAAACAGGGCGTGGTGAAGTGGTATGTTGTTAAAATGTCATGCGAGCATGGAAAGCTAAACGAGACCACGTACATATGTGTTAGCTCCCATAGCGACTGCGTCGATGTCACCGATGATGTGACACTCCAAATTCTAGGTTACCGCTTCAAGTGCACTTTTGGTTTTGAAGGGAATCCTTACACTAATGAATGCACAGGTATAATCTCTCATGAGCAATTTTACACTTGATGTTCGTTTACATTTTTGGGGGATATACAAATTCTAGAGTTTTATCACGCCAGAGCCTAAGCTGGCTAGCATAGCGGCTCTAGATCACCACTGATGTCATGTGCGAATTACAGATATTAACGAGTGCCTACAGCCAGATAAATACACCTGCAATGGTATTTGCCACAATACATTCGGGAACTACACATGCACAAGCACAAGCACAGGCACGGTAATCTTCTATTCTTAAATAGTTGCAACCCACTATCTAATTTTCCTCTTCAGGTAACAATGTCAAATCATAAACTCATGCATGTAGCTAGTCATAAGTTACTTTTTGCATTAATTTATTCCTGCAAAGCATGCCACCTCATTAACTCATGTATGCATGTTTTTTTGCTTAACTTAGGCATACAAAATACTCTTACTTTGCTTTAGTTTACTCAGCACTTCATTTTTAACAGGATTCCCACAGCAATAGCGCAGGGCATCATCTAGTATTAGGTAAGCGATCTATACCACTTGAAATCCTGTCAGCGGTGCGATCAATGTCTTGAAATAAAGAATCGTTCGGTTGCATTGTTCCTGATTCCTAGCTCGGGGGTTTAAATATCCTTAACTCGACTTAACTGGCTGCAGGTATCACCATTGGACTAAGCAGTGGTGGAGGCATTCTATTTCTTGCCGTATTTGTTGCTATTCTTACACGAAGATGGAATCGGACCGTTCAGAAGCGCTTGAGAAAAATGTATTTTCGGAAGAACAAAGGCATTCTGCTAGAACAGCTTATCTCTTCAGACAAAACTGCCAACGATGGCACAAAGATATTCTCCCTGGAGGATCTGGAGAAGGCAACAAACAATTTTGATCATGCCCGTGTGGTCGGACGGGGTGGCCATGGCACTGTCTACAAGGGCATCTTGATCGACCAGCGCGTGGTGGCCATCAAGAAATCAACGCTCTCGGTGATCAGCGAGATCGAAGAGTTCATCAACGAGGTGTCCATCTTGTCGCAGATCAACCACCGAAATGTAGTGAAGCTCCATGGATGTTGCCTCGAATCCGAGGTCCCTCTGCTTGTCTATGAGTTCATCTCCAACGGCACGCTCTACGACCTTCTGCACCGCCCCTCTGAGCAAAACAGTAGCAACTTATTGATGCCATTGTCCTGGGAGGAGCGCCTGAGGATCGCCACCGAGATCGCGGGCGCGCTCACGTACCTGCACTCTTCGGCTTCCGTGTCGGTCCTCCATAGAGATGTCAAGTCCATGAACGTGCTCCTGAATGACAGCTACACCGCAAAGGTCTCGGATTTTGGTGCATCGAGGCTGATCCCCATCGATCAAACGCACCTGGTCACCGCCGTTCAGGGTACGTTTAGGTACCTGGATCCGGAATATAACTACACGGGCCAACTCAACGACAAGAGCGATGTTTACAGTTTTGGAGTGATACTTGTTGAGCTGCTGATGAGGAGGAAGCCCATCATCCAGAACGAGCATGGCGAGAAGCAGAACTTGTCAAACTACTTCTTGTGTGCCATGAGGGAGAGGCTCCTCGAGGAAACGGTGGACGCGCAGATCCTGGGGGGTGGAAGAGATGAAGGGGTTCTGTGCATGGCTCAGTTGGCAGAGGAGTGCCTCAGGCTGACTCGAGAGGAGAGGCCAACCATGAAAGATGTGGAGATGAGGCTGCAGCTCCTCACAGGAATCCGCGTTGCACCGAGGGTGAGGCAAGAAGAAGAGGCAGGACCTGCGGGAGACGACGGACATGGCGGGGTCGACCCGTTAGTCGGTCAGCATGGCTCACGTCAGTTCAGCCAAGAACACGAGTTCGTTTCATCTCTGCGTGTACCGCGGTAGGTTGTAGGCACACCTTATTTACATTTCGCACTTGCCAGGAAAATAATTTATTTTCCTGTCACATTTCAAATTTTGGTTGATATATGTATGAATGAAGAAATTGTACTTTAAAGCGGTTATCATTATGTGAGTCACAGTCGATAGCATTGAGAGTGTCAATGATTAATGCTTCTCAAATAATAGGACTGGATGAAACTGATTTTCAGAAGGGCGTGTACGGTGGTCGATAAGGTGTTTTTGTCTTAAACATATCACATCATCTAAAGATGATAGTGTACGGTGGTCGATAAGGTGTTTTTGTCTTAAACATATCACATCATCTAAAGATGATAGTAAAATATGATGTACAATGATTTATTTCTTAGTTTTATCTCTATTAATTAGGTATTCCTAGGGGTCTATCTTGGGCCCTATTTATTGCAAATCTAAGTGACTCAATCATACTGGCAAAAACAAACAATCAAATAATTAAAAATACTTACACAAATCTTCGTGTAAAATCAATGACATAGGACTTAGTAGTGAAACACTTAGCACATCTGGATGTGCATTAGCAAAACCGTATCCTAAATATGTCATGAGAGAATTTTGTTGCTAAGAATCCTCTCTTAATTAAGAGAAGAATTTTTTTCTTTCTTTCCTTCTAATTTCTTCCTCATTCACCTCAGCATATATCCACATGGCACTCCTAAGATAACACCATTACACGCCCTAAAACCATATAAAATAATTGATAAGACAATCTTATCTTAATCCTACTTCATAGTTTAAATGCCAATATAAATATGTGTACAATGGTTATCTCTTAGTTTTATCTGTGATAATTAGATATGCCTAAATATCTACCACGATAAGATGATCATCTCCTAATTAAGAGAAGACAAGCTTTTTTTTTCTTATGGTTTCTCTCCCCTCCTCATTAGCATGTATCATATGTAAAACTAAGATAACACCATTGTACATTCCCTAAACCGCGCGAGATATAATGGTGATAATGTATGTCTGTACTCACTATCTAATTTGTTTGGTGGCTGGAAAATACAGAAATGGTATAACTTTTGAACCGAACAACATAGATCGGAGAACCGAAGACACATGTTGCATGAATTTTCTATCTAGATTGTACAAAACTCCTGACAAAATTATTGGACTTTTTGAGAACCAACCAACTATTAGTTGGGTGAATAGTAGGGTTTTATCCCAACTCACGTGAGATCAAACTGTCATAGGTTTGACCCTAATACGGTGAAAACATAATATTTTAAGATTAATATAAAATATTTTTCTATATATTTATGATTTTATTGACTGGTTCACTATTTGCGGTTAAAGCCCAACATATCTTTTCCATTCTATAGAAAACTTCACGGAAAATAGGAAAAACACACACATGAGTGATCCACAGAGATAGGAGAAATTCTATTCGAGTGAGAGGTGATTGGAGAGGAGTCCGGGTTGGCCACCCACTTATGCCGCTAGTGGTGCCCACTGAAATCGGTCCCCTTCCATTGCAAGCTTTTTCTTTGAATTTAGACGTCATTCTATAAATTGAGGGGTTTTGGTGGCAACATAAAGCACAGATAAATAGACAGAAAAGAGATCCAATCTAGTGAACACCATTAGTAGATACTCCCTTCGTTCCAAAATAGATGACTCAACCTTGTATTACTTTAGTACAAGATTGAGTCATCTATTTTGGAACGGAGGGAGTATAAATTAGTCTTCTTCCTTTTCCAAAAAGATGTGTATTCTTCTTCCATGAGTTGTTTGTAGTCTCCTCGCGGGACACATATTTGTAGTAGCAACTATGTAACAACTTTTCTCTTTTGAATTGCATGGGTGGCCTAGCATGATTGTAGTCCTTGTTCTTCTAACATCATACGAGTCGATGACATAATTATCATCAATATTTCATCTGTTTCAAAATATAAGGTGTACTAGTTTTTTGAAAAGTCAAACTTTTGTAACTTTGACCAAGTTTACAGCCAAAAATACAAACATCTACAATACTAAATGAATAATGAAAAGACTTTTCATGATGAATCTAATAATATTGATTTAATATTAAAGATACTGATATATTCATGTAAATTTTCTCAACACTTAAGAAGTTTGACTTTTCAAAAAACAAATATACCTTATATTTTGGAACGGAACTTGGATTGGAGAACTGCATATCTTAGATACTACTCATGTTGACTTAGGCCGCCTTCGGTGTCCCTCCGCTCCGCTCCGCTCCCGGAGCGAACGGAGTTGGAGTTATAATCCCTGGAACAAGCTAACAGCTACTCCGTAGATTCTAGGATTTGAAGGAGCGGTGGACTGCCGAACGCGGCCTTATGTTCTCAGTTTTACTATCTAGACTAAGAGATCCCCGATTCACACGAATTCTAACTGACAATCAAACTATCAAATAATTTATATGGAAAAAATTAAAAGCACATATATTGCTTATCGAAGGCCCAACACCGCTAACACCCTAATTTAAAGTCACGACATGAGACAGATTATCCGAGAAAGAAGCAAGCCATGGGGAAGTTCCTGTCCTTTTGTTTCTATTTTTTTGTGTCTCCTTTTCTTTTTGTTTCTTGTAATTTTATTGGATAAACATCATTTTTAAAAATAAATAAATAAATTTTGAACAATTTTTTTCCTTCTTGTTGTTAATTCTTCTGTTTTTCTAAACATATGAACATTTTGGAGTATTTTCAAACATATTGGTATTTTCAATATACATAAATTTAAAATATATAATATTTTTAAAGCGTGAACATTTTTTGTGAAAAAATGGAGATATTTAAATTTTTTGGACAGTTTATCAAAATATATAGTTTTATCATTATTATAAAACATAATGTTCTGGTTAACTAATAGATGTGTTTTACCTGCCAAAAAAAGGTACTTCAAATGATGGCTCAAAGTTCCAATTGAAAAAAAAACATAATGTTCTGTTTTTGGGAAATTTGCAAAAGTCTGTGGCCGTCCTGCAATCATTTGAGAGTCCAAACTGTATTATGTAATTTCTGGAGGCATCTAGTGATGCTTTTCGTAAAAACAAATCGTAATTTAAATCACTCTAAAGGGGCTTGGTTGCAAGGCCACATGAGGCTGACGTCCTGTTTGCATGTTTTACCGGGAAAATGATACTGTATAATAGAAAAGAATTCGGGAGCCGAATGTGGCCGAATACGTCCCATGGACGAGGACCCAGCCACACGTGTGCAAATTTTCCACAAGAAACCCACAGGCCCACAAACGCGAAGCCCACTCAGTCCACCTATAAGGATGGCAATTTTACCCATTATATGGGTACCCGGGAATACCATATCCGGATCGACAGGGTATGGGAATAATTTTATACCTACGGGTAGTACCCATACCCTATTCATTAAGTCATGGGTAGGACACGGGTATAGCCTTTATCTATGGATATACCCATACCCTACCTGTTTATACTGACATATGAACCTTATCCATGATTCACCAGTGTACCTATGGTAAAGTTATGTCCTGAGTTTGTAAACCTATGTTAAAGTTGTCACCAATTGTCAATTTGAATTGAGATAATTATCATGTACTCATCTATCTGTTATTGAGTTGAGCTCAATAACTTTTTGTCAAATGTGCTATAGATGAATATAAAACTGTTAATAACTTGTGTACTATCTGATCTGGTCGTTGGGTATCCAATGGGTATGGGTACCCGTTGGGTATGGGTACGGGTAAAGTTTCATACCATGGATACAGGCATAGGTAAGATTTTATACCCATTGACTGCATGAGTATAGATATGGTATTACTCTACCCGCCCCAATACCATACCTATTGCCATCCTTACTTGGATTCATATCCCTCGTACTTCCTAGCCCCGCGCAACCCCGGCGCCCGCTCGCCGACTCCCGCGAACCCGGCTCAGCTCATCTCATCTACTGCGTCTACAATCAGTTACAAGCTCCCATTGGTCGCGTTTCCGTGCACCACCGCGCGTCCATGATGCCCGCATGCTTGCTCCGCCATGGCCTTTCTTTCGAGGTGATCTCCCACGGTCTAGCATGCCGCCCACGCGCACAGGGTGTTCGACGAAATGGCGCCGGCCGGCAATGGTGCGCCGCCCTGTCCGCTATACCTTCCGGCGCACTATGCTTCCGCCGTTTCTGTCAGCCTGCACGTCGCCACCGTGACTACTAACTTCGTTCCACAATTGTGTTGCCACTCGCCACACGATCCCCATTTCATTCAAGTGCCGGCAGTGCTCTACTTTCTGCAGCGGCATGGCGATCGAATTGGATCGCCCACGTACCTGCAATCCCTCGTCGCTGCCTGTCTAATACGGCCATTTTCTATCCGGTTGTAGGGTGTGCCGGACCCTGAAGGACTGGACCCGTGCTGGCTTCATGCCATATTGCCATCCACTACCCGAGCACTGCGGGCTGTAGCCTGCCTGTACCATCCAACGCCGGTACGGTGTTCCTCTTCCAACATGCTAAACAGATGATGAAATCCAGTCGATGCACTGCCTCTCAAGTGGCGAGCAGCATCCCTTTTCCATAGCATCGGCTGCCGGGTATCCAGTGGAGCCGCATGATGATCTCGACCGGAACCATACGCCTTTGATCGGTTTGTACGTCTGGCGGTTCTAGGTACGGCCGGATCGGCCGAGCATCGACCACCGCTTCTCTGGATCGGTCCCTGAATGCTCCACGTCGTTGGACTTGCACACACTTGAATTATGTTTCAGACTTTCAGTGCACATGACATGCATGACGCACTGCTTACTACGTACGCCACTGAACCTTGTGAAGGACTGAAGACGAAGGTCAGCTTTGCTTCACCTTTCATATGTGCTGGTGCTCGTAAAGTCAGCTCCAACAGTCTCATAACCCAAGTGCGCGCCTCCCTGAACGCCTAGCTAAAAAAGATACCTACAATTATCTCTTCAAAGTTTCTTCCTACCCTGGCTAGCAAGCTAGGAGATGCAACATACACTTTAATGTCTACAC